ACAAGCGGTGGTGGTTTGATTAAACTTAAGGGATGAGTTAGTTGTCAAGCGGCACGTCACATTCATGAATTTTGTTTCTGTTTCAGAAAATATATAATCAGACCGCGAGGGTCTCATTTATTTTTTCTCGGACAAGGCTCGATCATAATTCGTAATTTATTAAAAAGAAAATCGTAATGAAATTTGGCTGACAGAAGATTTCAAGTATAGAAATATCGACAACTACATCTACAACAGTCATCAGAAAGAAAGTTTTGGAAATGAAATATTGGGTTATCAAAAATTTCGTTCGGTTTATTCAACAAAAAGAAAAAAAAACAAAATGGTTGCTTATTTTCTTTTTTCTTCAATGATAGAACCAATAAAAATATGTCAGTTATATTTAAAAAAAAAAGAAGATACACACTAAAATAATAGCTGTTTAAATACAAGAAACTTTTAAAAGATAAAACTAGTTAAAAGTAAACGTCAATCAATAGCAAAGGGAGAACGATATTTTTGGTCAGCCCAATACATCTACAACAAGAAAGATACTCTGGGAAAGGAAACAGAAACGAGGCTTTCAGCATTAAAGAGTATCAAGATGAAATAGTGTGCATTTTTTCTTTTCTTTTTTTCTTTTCGTTTTGCATATTTTTGCTTTTATTTCCAATCAACCCACTTGCAGTTTTGGGTGTCATTTAAAGATCAAATTAAAATCAACCCAAATGGGACATTGTTTTAAAACTATTTTAAACCAAAACGAATCAGATAAAGACTGATAATGCTAATTTTCGTCCAAATATCCCGCATAGTTTTATGTACATATTTACATCGATTTAATGGACCTCCATATAACGGATCTTGTATTTTACGGACCTTATTACAAGGATGAGATTGCCTTTTTTTTCTTTTTTTTTAAAAAAAAAAAAAAACAATTTGTGAAAAGGATTTCCAGAACTTAAGATAATTTCTTTCTGATATAAAAAGCCCAGTCCAGAGTCCTTTTCTAATTGAAGATATTGAATAAAATCTACTATACAAGTATATTTTATTTTCCGTTTTATTTTGACTTAAAGTGGCGCTTTTATCATTTGATTTGTTTACTGTGTATTAGCAATTTGAAAATTTTTTGTAAATAACCTTCATTTTTCTTTGGTAATAATCAATTTTAAAAAATCATTCTTAAATTAAATTTTATTTATAAGAATATGCGTTTCCGTTATAGACTATAGATAAGATTTGTAGTCGCATTAAATATATGGTTACAAACCATTGAACTACAGTGTCAAAAAGGTGTGTAAATATTACATATTATTTATTATAAACAATGATTTTGTATTACACAATACTGTATATAGTATTTAAACTTTTATTTTTATAGGGAAATGATAAATGGTATAAATTATTAGATCCACATTTAACGAACTTTTAGAATTAATACTTACTCCCATTAGTCCCTAAATAGAGGCAAATATATATATATATATATATATATATATATATATATATATATATATATATATATATTATTTTCTTTTTAAAAATACGATTCCATCGCGACACAGAAATTTCTATGTTTCAAAACTAAAATTGTAAATTTAATGAGCAAGCACCCCCACCCCACATAAACTTCACCTGATTTTGTAAGTAACATATTTGATACATAAGTTGTTTAGGGAAATTAAAACCGAACCACCCCTAATAAAAAAAGACTGAATTTTCCTTAAACTTAACAACTCAAAATATTAAGATTGTCTGCGCTTATAAATTAAGTAATTTTCTTAGAAGTTTATTCCTAACATCGCTTGACAATGGAACGAAAATCTGGCTGGATGTGAAGTTTAATTTGTATAATTAAATTTACAATTTTAGTTTCAGTTTTGAAACAGAAATTTCTGTGCCGCGATGGAATCGTATTTTTTAAAAAGAAAATAATTATAATATTATGCTCTACGGTTTGAATCTAGCACTGTTTTTTTAAAAATAAAAATAATTACTACGAAAACCGGATTTTAAATCTTACTGCTCTTTCTTCTTCTTATATATATATATATATATATATATATATATATATATATATATATATATATTAAAGTAAAAATAAAGTGAAATGCTCAACTTATATGCCTCGTCTCTGAGTTTCGATGAGTTATATCGATTTGACTAGGGGCTTGGTAGCAAATTTGATTATCATTTCCCGGTGATGAATGGAAGTATCCCCGCGAAACTCAGAGTAGAAAAAGATAAGTTGTACATATTATTTCTCATTAAGGTTGTATCTATTGATATTGAGCACTTTACTTACAAAAAAACAAAAAAACAAAAACTGTTTGACTTAAAAGCGTTATCTGCCAGAAATGTACAGATCGACCATTGTTTTTTTTTTAAAAACACAATCTCTATATATATATATATATATATATATATATATATATATATATATATATGTAAAAATCTGTGGGTAAGTAATCCAAGTAAAATATTAAAATATTAAAATTGATCCACAAAAGAGAGCTCAATATATTTATTATAGAGCATGAAAGGGAATTACAAAACTGAAACCCAAATTACCCCATTCAGATGATCATTTCAATTGCATTGACAAGTCCCAGGGAGAATCTCGGGGGGACGAAATGGTCATTTGAATGGGGGTAATTTGGGATTTGTTTTTGTAAGTCTCTCTCTCTCTCTCTCACGCATATACACCCCCATATATATATATATATATATATATATATATATGTGCGTGTGTGTGTGTGTATGTGCGTGCGTGTGTGTGTGTGTATGTGCGTGCGTGTGTGTGTGTCACGATGATTTTTGGAGACTGTTCATTGACCTTTTATTTCATGTATGAAGATACAGTATTTTTATCTTTCGTAAGTTTACACACACACAAATATATATATATATATATATGTGTGTGTGTGTGTGTGTGTGTGTGTGTGAAATGTGTATATAAATATAAATAAATATATATATGTATAATTATTTATATATTATATGCACGGTACTTATTAGAAAGCGCTCAATATCAGAGCTAACATATTTGGTTGGATTGACGTGAGTTTGTGACCCTGGGTTAAAGCGTGAAACCCAGGGTCACAAACTCACATCTATCCAACCAAATATATATATATATATATATATATATATATATATATATATATATATATATATATATATATATATATATATATATATATATATATGTGTGTGTAATATAAGGGCTCTATATCACCAAATAGTTAAAAAACATAAAATATATTGTTCATATATTGTATGAATAGGGCTTTTTATCTTAATATTTCTGTTTCGAGTTCAATCCCAGCTTAGATCCAGGTTCACCACCGTTCACGAAAAATTACCTGGGATGAAAAAAAAAATGTTTTCAATTTTTTCAATGGAGCCATTTGGTTCATACTTCTAATTTCGTCAACGTTTTAACTTGTTTTTATTTGCTTTACATTTCTATATAGTACTTGAGTTTATTTTTTTATTATTTTTATGCTATTTTATTTCGTTTCACCGATATTTGGTTTGAACATGGAAAATTGTTTAGTTAAAATATATATGAATGAATAACACTTGTATGAACTATTATTTTATATTCCTATTAATATATGAGGACTGTTTGCTGCGCTAAGAGCAAAGCGTATTTCAGAAAGTACGATTTCGTTTGACCACGACTGGGAACGAAGAATTGCAAAAAAAAAACTACTTTTCTTGTTTCTGTAAAGGAGGATATCTTTCTTAATAAAAATGGAGGTTTTCATCTGTACAAAGTGCAGTTGTCAGTACATTTGTTTCTTGCATAAAAACAAAAAACAAAAAACAAAAACATCTTGATTGTTCGTCTTGGTAAAATAACATAAACAGACTTTGTTAAAACGTTTGCCGTCATTGTTACATTTAGAATTAAGTATGGAATTCAGTGCCTGAAGAAAAAAAAAAGACAGTATCGTTATAATGTCAATATGACCGCCATTCAAAATTGCCTTTGGTACTGGTAAAGCTACCATTTAAATTTATGTCCTTTCAGCGTATTTCATTTTGAAAGGATACTATTACAATTGATTAATAACGAACATTTTTTTCATTCAGGATCTTTTTGCACACACACACACATGCACACACACGTATATATATATATATATATATATATATATATATATATATATATATATATATATATATATATATATATATATATATATATATATATTCAAAAATTAAACACAAATTAAACAAGCGACAATATATCTAACAGCACTTGGGATCACTTGCTCTGAGATTTTTTAAAGTTTTTTTTTAAAATGACCCAAATGCCGAAATAATCGAGTCTTGTATTGTCTTGGAGATGTTTAGGATACTATTACAAAGGATACTATTACAATTGATTAATAACGAACATTTTTTCATTCAGGATCTTTTTCTTTTACACACACACACACACATGCATACACACATGTTTTTTGTTTATATATATATATATATATATATATATATATATATATATATATATATATGCATATTTAAATTTATCACAAATATATATATTAAAATTATCACACACACATATATATATATATATATATATATATATATATATATATATATATATATATATATATATATATATATATATATATATATATATATATATATATATTAATCGCTTCAAAAAATTAAACACAAATTAAAACAAGCGACAATATACCTAACAGCACTTGGGATCGCTTCTTCTGAGATTTTTCAAAGTTTTTAAAAAATGACCCAAACGCCGAAATAATCGAGTCTTGTATTGTCTTGGAGATGTACATACATCTATAGCCACTCTAAAAAAACGTGTGTGTAATCCTCAGTGCAATTATGGGGCTGTCATTAAAAGACTTAACCAAAATTAAGGAGTTGTTCTTAAATAAAAACAAGTCGTTTTCATTGCTTTTATAATTAAAAGTAAAAATCTTTTATTTGATTGTTTGCAATCTCGTCATCGTCCACTCATCGTCTGTCTAACTTCAATCATCGATGTTGATAGACTGTTTGGACCGGGCGAGGGGTACAAACACCAAAATTGATAGAGAACAGAGGAGGGTGGAAAGAACAAAAACCCAAAATAGGATTCGATCCACCACTTCGGCCACTTCTTGCCATTGCTTCATCAGCGCCATCTCTTTACTCCTTTCCTCTTCCTTGTTCAGCAATAGTTGCAGCTTTTCCAGGATTTCTTCGGCTTCCCAGGAGCGCGGATATTCTCGGTGAATTGTTGTCTGCACACCACGGGCATGTAAAGTGCTTCCCCGTCTGCTAAGGCTACTGTCTTCGATCGTGCGGCTAGAGTTGGCTATTTGGTCACTGCTCCCGAACTCAATAAGATTACATCCGGATTCACTTGGGTGCGGACGGGTAAACTTTCGATTTCGTTTGACCACGACTTGAAACGAAGATGGCTTAACTTCTTCGAATTTAATCTGAAAAAAAAAAATCAATAAATATTTTATTTGGCATAACAAGTAAATAGATACCTAATAATGGAAAGATATGAAAGGAAACTTGGAAAATATGATGCTCACAGAACAGATGGAACTCAAGGGAAACAGTGGGGGGTGCGGAAAGGCATGCTAAGATACTTACCTTGAGTAAATGGATGGCGGAACAAGTTTTAGGAGAAATAACAGAAAGACAAAATTTATTAAGAGCTACAAGAGACAGGAAGTTGTGGAGAGCCATGATTACCTCCAAATAACCTTAAATAGAAAGAAACATTCTTAGGATATAATAAATAAAAAAAAAGGGGACTCGATTTACGACAGAGTTCCGTTCCTACGATATATTGCAACGAGGTGTATGTAGGAACGTACCTACGATTTGCCGGGAAGAAGCACTGACGTCACTCACCTATGTTAACACAATAGTAAAGTAATAATCTAGGACATAACAACACATTTCTATGATATATCTTAACACAATTAAGACTAAAAGAACACGTGTAGGACATCATCGTCGGCAGCTTTATCTCGTATCTAAGAACTCAATTTCATCTTTGCTGAAAACTTTATGATGATGGCGTTGATGACTAAATTCGCTGCAAACGTAGCAGGTTTAGGACTAGAAGCTTCCAGTTTCAGCAAAACATGCTCACGTCAGCCATTCCCTATAACAGTCTGGCCTACAAGAGTTGGTTGGTGGTGAAACAAAATCAGAATAAAAGGAAGTGTCGATGGCGTGGTTGGTGAAGGTGGACTTCAACTTGCCAGGAAGTGACCCACCTACGTAATTTTATGACCTTTTCTTAAATCGGTATCACCCCAAGCACTAGCACGCAAGGGGTTACAGGGTGTAGAGGAATTAGGAACAGAATAGAAACATTAGTAATGAGGAGAAAGAGAAAAGGGCAATCAGGTGGACAGTAGATAGCGAAGGGCACTTCAACGTGGCGTAATGGTTAGCAAACTTGATCAATTACGACTGAAGAGCGAGTTCAATACTCACTGGGTACCCATGAAATTCGGCCTTGTGTCGCATCTAAGCTACGCTTAGAATATCACGGGGATCTCGTTCCGGATACTTCCGGGAGGATTGGCAGAGAAGGAGAAGGGATTTTTCCCGTCGGAGTAGAGGCTGCAGTTGTAGTATCTGTTCTGTATCGGAGGCCTTCTCTTGCGTTGCCCCCACCCCGTTGCGTAATATCTGTTATGTAGCGGTGGTAGGACCGGCTATGACTAGCTCAGACAATCTATGACCAGCTTAGATTAACTGTGACCAGCTTAGACCAGCAGCCCGAGGGAGAAACACTCGTGTTTCCACGTTAAAAACCCACCTTGTGTCACAACGTGGCCCAGTGGTGGTGGTGGTGGTGGGGTGGTCAAGCTAAATCTCAGACAGTAAATAGCGATCGACATTGCATTTAAAATTTTGCAGATTAAAGTTGGTTAGAAAATATGGAGCCGAAAGGGAGTTCCACAAGCGAGAAGTGCGAGATAAGAAAATGATACCATAGAAGATACGGCTCCATCTAGCTAGCTCAAATGTAAATTGATGAGATCTTGCCACCAGTCTAGTATTGCGATTAAATTCATATAGTCCAGGCACCATAGCGAAGAGCTCATCTGAACAATTACCATGAAAGTATTTTTAAAAAAGTGCAAAGAGGCAACGTTACCGCGGTGGGCAAGTAACTGAAGCCGAAACATCAGATTAGGATCAATAATATTTCCAATTCTTCTTTGGATCTTATCAAGGAGCTCAGGAAAATATCAGGGGGACCGGACCATAAATGGCAACAATATTCTAAGCATGAACCAATGGTAGACCTTTAGATATGCAAAATAGATTCCGGAGAGAAAAATTGTCTCGCCCGACACAGTGAACCTACTTTCTTAGCAGCTGATTTAGTGATGGATTTAATGTGCTCTTCACACCTCATGTTAGGTGAGAACTCTGTTATGATTTCGAGCGATGCCTTCTGTAGCATGTCCGTCATGCGTAGCCCGCTTCATCCGCTGGTTCAACCTTTGGGATCTGTTGTAATCGTCATCCGCTTGTTCCACCGTTGGGTTCTTTGGGGTTGGTCACGCTTAATATGGGTCCCCGTCTTCGATCTTGCCGCCGAAGCTGGCCCTGCCAGGAGTTTGGAAATTCCGACGGCATCGCTCTCAGAGTCATTATTCACTCTTCATTCGCTGGTTCAATCGTTGAGATCTATTGGAATCTCCACCCGTATGATGGAGGACATGAATATAATACATATAATGAAATGAAATTGGTTTAAGCTGCTTGTATATTCATTGCCAGTGATGACAAAGCGTAAGATCTTGTCTCTCTTACAGTACACGGGAGCAACAGCAAATCTGGGAAAGAAAGAAAAACTAACGTAAGTTTGTTTTTCTTCTTTTATCGGGAATTCATCAACTTATAGTTTAACAAGGAAATGCCCTTCTCTCTTACATAATCTATGTATTCTTCTGCCGCGCTGTTTGCGTCGTATGTACGAGGCAAACAGTATAAATCGAAAGAGGATTCATGGAAATTGCGTCGTTTTTCACGAATCGCAGTAGATCGGGACTTTCGTAACACGGGGACTTACTGCACCGCAATTTCCATTATACGAAAAGTATTTTTGTTTTGTTAATAAACACTTTTTGTACAATTAAAATGAAAATAAAATTTTGCTCGTTCAGCGCGGCTTTGAATACATCGATTGCAACTCTGCAGCGTTGGAAGACCCCTACTCATATTTAGATATGGACAACAAATATTTGCCCATTGAATCGAGTATAAACACGGCCAAATTTGCCTATAGGCGCAAGTATAAACACGAACTACTTTTGTTTATGAACTCAAGTATTAAAACAACCGAGGTTTACCAATAGTCTCAAGTATAAACACGGACTATGTTTACTAATGTACTCATGTATTAACTCGGCAAACGTTTACCTATAGATTTGAGTATAAACACGAAAAATGTTTGTCTATAGTCTCAACTATGAACCTAACCATTCTTTATCTATAGTCTCAAATATAAATGTGACCGATATTTATATACGGACTCAAATATTAACCCGACAAATATTTGCCTATAGACTCAAATATAAATAAAGTAATATTTATCTATCGACTCAAATATAAAGCTAATTTTTGCCTGTAGATTTAATATAAACACGACCAAAATTCAGCATTTAATAAGCCAACAAGTGTGGATTCATCGTACAATCTAGCAACCCAATCCAGTTAAAACAAAGTTTTCGAATACTGGTGTGTGAATTGTCCACGATTTTTCATTTTAAATATCATAATTGGCGACTTATGGTCGTAAATGTTTGGACTTTATTTTAAAGAAAAAGTCACAACTCTTAAAATGTTTAAACAAATTTTGGGAAGTACTGACATATATAGACTTCCAGGTCCGAATTTTGTGGGAAGCTTCAACGGCTTTGAAGATCGGTTTACAGTAGTGTCTCAAATACTTGTGACCACTATTCTAACATCTTAAACGAAAGGTACAAATATTGTCGATAATATGGTATATTTTTTGGGATAAGGAGTGTAAGGCTGGAGGAATATTGAAAAGCTGTAATTAGAGGTGAAACGATTAAATCAGGAAAAGCTGATCATGTATATAGAGGAAAAGGGTTGGCATCAAGCTCTGAGGAATTAATTAAAAATACTTAACAGGGAGGAACACTTGACAGTCATGAAAGAATCAGTGCATGCGGTAGGCTCTCAGACCTATCATTAGAAATAAATACAATATGGAAGCCGTTAAGAAAAAATGCCGTGAAACGCGCCAAGTAACAGCAGTAGAACTTATCAACACGCAGGTTAAATTTAAGGTTACAAAATTTCCACTTAGTCTTGGTTCGTGGATTTGGTGATATATTAATTGGGAGTCCAATACCTGCACCGGGTAGTGTGTACATGGACAGAAACAAAGCGAGCAATAACAAGGCATTACTTTAAATGAACTAGATATCTCTAGCCATGGGCATTGAAACGCGAGCAATCTATCTGCGTAGATAAAATAAAGGGTTCATTTCGAAATTCCCTGAAGATTGCCAGTAACGACAAGCATTTGATGAAGGTCAAAACATTGTAATGACTCACTTCTGCTATGATTTAACTTTAAAAAAAATCAGATTAGACTCTGAATGGAGCGTTAAACCATATCTGGACTGGAGCTGTTCAATCTGCCATGCTTCAGCATTACAAGTCATATTAGACCCAAAGTGTTGCTGCCATATCTGGATTGGAACTGTTCAAATCTTCACATTCAAGCCTTCATCATTACAAAATTCAGATTAGACCCAAAATGGAGTGTTGCCGCCATATCTGGATTGGGGATATTAAATCCTCACTTTTCAGCCTTGTTAGGGTTCAGAAACTTTTACACGGCCTTTTCGAGGAAGACTTATTCTATACTCCGCAGTTCCTTCTCCACAGACGCAACATTACCATTCTACCGCTATTTTCATGGCAAATATTCAGATGATTGATTACAAGAAGAATCAGGGCAGAACGGAGAGCAGAACGAACTTATAATAAAGTGGAAATCATATATACAATCCATTGCTAAAAATGCTAAAAAATGGTTGGATCATTCTATCAATCAAGGAGGTACCCGACTCCTGCTGCCATGCTTTATTTTACAAAAAAAAGATTAGGCGTCAAATGGAATATTGTTGCCATATCTTGGCTGAAGCTTTTGTTTAAAGTGACGTCTTATAATGTGGAGTCTAAATGCCAACCATTTTAAAAGGATTACTGAAAATTGAAATAGTAGTTGGCCTCTTACCTGGTGAATGTATTCCAGTTTGTAACATATTGCCTTCGAGGCGATGACTATAAACGATCTGAGACAAGGTGGAAGTGGAGCTTGGTGGTAGCCACGGTTGTTGATATTAGAGACGAAAACGGCGAGAATGACAGACAGAGACGTCAGAGCCATTATCACCGTCAAATAGATTCCTGTAAGACACACAGACAAAAAAAAAAAAAAAAATATATTTTGCGTAAAAGAATTGATTGTTAATAGTCATTGAAATAAAAAACAAAAACAAAAAAAACAACTCATGTCCAATTGAACTGAATTACGGTAATGATAATCTGGAATGAACGCTATCGATTCAAAAGAATTAATATGAAGGAAAGGTATAAAAATATGTAGATCTTTTTTTATCTCAAGGGATCACACATTCACATCGACCTTTGCTAAATATCTATGTAGATGATCCCAACCATGATGGATGCGCCAGTAAAAATAATGATCAGATCCCAGGAACTGATCTTTCCTCTGATTTTGCTCTAACAGCTCAATGGGGAATAGTAGCTTGTAATATTAAATACCCACAAAACGATTAACTTTTCATCATAATTTCTCCAGTCACGATGAATGGTTTTACTATCAATGTGGCTCTATGCTTTGAACGTCTGTTGGAAAGCCCGTAGATCTTAAATTGACCTTATGAGTAATGGATAGCGACTCGGAATGAATGAATAGGACAGCCGAATTCGAATTCCACTCGAATCCATTACATTCACCTATGCGCTAATACTCTTTGGAAAGGTAGGAATCCTAAGCTTCTCCCTTCAGCTATGGGTAAATAGTAGGAAAGACCGGGTTCTATAGCTTTGGATGGCAACTGGTCTACCGCAGAAAGAAATGGCAACCTATTGCGGGAAAAAAATCTGCCTCGTCAGTCATGTATCTTTCGATACATAATCGCTTAAGCGTGTATCACGCACGGCGCATAAAATAGCAGGACGGACCAGGTTATATATAGCCTTGGATGGCATCTGCTCTACCGCAGAAAGAAATGGCAACCTACTGCTGGAAAAAAATCTGCCTCGTTAGTCATGTATCGAAAGATACATGATCGCCTAAGCGTGTATCACACATGGCACATAAAATAGCAGGACAGATCGGGTTATATATATCCTTGGATGGCAACTGGTTTACCGCAGAAAGAAATGGCAACCTAGTGCGGGAAAAAATCTGCCTCGTCAATCATGTATCGAAAGATACATGATCACCTAAGCGTGTATGACGCATGACACATAACTGACTGATATACGAACCATCAATAAAGATGCCGTAAAAATTGTTGTTTCTTGTGCCGTTACAGAAACTACCGGATTCCTTCCATGTTCCATTTTCGCAAGAGTTAGTTAAGAGCAAAAATGGTGTATTGCTACCCACTCCTCACTTCAGCCTTTACAGAGTTAAAAAGTTCAAAAACGTTTACGCTTTATACTGGACGATGAATTATTTTCCAACCTACAATCTCTTTCCCCACAGACGAACTATCACAAGCCTATAGCTACTCCATGGCAAATGTTCATACGAGCTTCATTCCTTAATTACACCAGTTCAAACCTTGAGGATGCTTTCATGATTACTACAATCTTAACCTCTTTAAGTCTTGGGTCAACCGTTATCTATCCTGCCTGTGCTCATAATCTGCATTTCCTTCTATAGACGAACCTCACTAAGTAACTCTATACTTTATATGACACTTGTTCTTTGTATTGGTGAACATATATTTAAAAAATGGATGCGTTATCAACAGCAAAGAAGATAAACTCTGTGGTAAATTGCTTGAAGACATTCACACTTTTCGGGTAAAGATGGTAACTAGGAAAATTATTTATACTTACAAAGAGAAACAGCAACAAAAGAAACTTTCCGCAAACCGCTAAATGAATTAAACAGTAGAAAATATACATTTATCGAGCTTCTATCTTTACTTTGAATATTTCCTTTCTTTCTTTTCCTTGATTTATCCTTCATTTTACATTATGTAATTTTTCTTTTGAAAAATTTATTAGTTTTCAGTTTGTTTGTTTGTTTGTTTGTTTCTTTCTTTCTTTCTTTCTTTCTTTCTATTCCTAGATTTATTCTTCCAACGCTTTCCATAATCTATCCTGTCTTTCATTCATTCTTTTTTCTTTCTTTTGTAAAACTCTATTCTTTTCATTGTCTTTCTTTCTTCTATTTTCTTTCTTTCTTTCTTTCTTTCTTTCTTTCTTTCTTTCTTTCTTTCTTTCTTTCTTTCTTTTCCTTGATTTATCCTTCATTTTACTTTATGTAAGCTTTCTTTTGAAAAATTTATTCGTTTTCAGTTTCTTCTTTCTTTCTTTCTTTCTTTCTTTCTTTCTTTCTTTCTTTCTTTCTTTCTTTCTATTCCTAGATTTATTCTTCCAACGCTTTCCATAATCTATCCTGTCTTTCATTCATTCTTTTTTTCTTTCTTTTGTAAAACTCTATTCTTTTCATTTTCTTTCTTTCTTTCTTTCTTTCTTTCTTTCTTTCTTTCTTTCTTTCTTTCTTTCTTTCCCTTTATTTATTCTTCCAACGCTTTCCATAATCTATCCTGTCTTTCTTTTCATTTTCTTTCTTTCTTTCTTTCTTTCTTTCTTTCTTTCTTTCTTTCTTTCTTTCTTTCTTTCTTTCTTTTTCCTTTATTTATTCTTCCAACGCTTTCCATAATCTATCCTGTCTTTCATTCATTCTTTTTTTTTTCTTTTGTAAAACTCTATTCTTTTCATTGTCTTTCTTTCTTCTATTTTCTTTCTTTATTTCTTTGTCTGGCTATTTCTTTCGTTTGTAAAATCTACACTTTTCCTTTCTTTCTTCCTTCCTTTCTTTCTTTCTTTCTTTCTTTCTTTCTTTCTTTCTTTCTTTCTTTTCTAAAATCTATTCTTTTTCAGTGTCTTTCTTCGTTCTATTTTTCTTTCGTTTTATTTTTCGTTTCCGTCATTTGTTTTCCTTCCGAATATTTTTTCCGTTTTTCTTCCATCTCAGCAAATCCCTACCTTTTTTATTTCCTTCCTCTTTCTTGTCCTTATAATTTTTTTTTCCTTCTCTTCTTTCCCCTCTCCCTTTTGACTTTCCCCACCTTTCTCAAACAATGAAAATGTTCAAACCGTCTATTTCCGCCATGGAAATAAGTCTTTATGACTGGAGACGTCGGGCAGAATCAAATATTAAGAGGATTCTTCTGTGCAAATATCCGACCTGGCACGACCGAAATTCAAAATGTCACTGTGAAACCATGTACAGGGTGATCCGAAAGTCTTGTAACCTAAATAACATAATTTTGTATTTCAGGTGCCTGACACAAGCTCCTACACGGAAATGATAGTGTTCGTACAGACCTTCTTGAAGTGTGAGAGCGTCAAGGAAAGCGAATAAACTGAATCCAGTACATGTGCTTTGTATTAATTGTTCTACTGTTCTCATGAATTTTTGGTAGAGGGTTTCAAAACTTTCGGATCACCCGGTACATCTTTTCCATTGACTGAGTCGAACAATGACCGAGAAAGAAAGAAAGAAAGTGAGTGAGTGAGTGAGAGAGAGAGAGAATGCAGATGAAGATGGGTAAAGAGGCGGTATTAGAGTTTGGGCAAAGGTCATAAATTTATTAGTTTCAAAACCTCAACTGAAAGAGCTTTTGGCTGAAGTCCTAAAGCAGAGGTGGGCGAAATTATTTCATGCGGGGGGGGGCTGTGGTCGTATCACTATCAGTCCTGTTTAAATGTGAAAAGGCTGTGCAAAATTATGAGAGATTAGTTTTTTGTACTGAATTGTTACATAATATCAGCCCTTCTACAGGGTGATCCGAAAGTCTTGACACCCCTACATAATATAATTTTCTTTTTCAGATGGCTGACATGAAAATGATTGTGTTCATACAGATCTTCCCGATTTGGCTCCGTGAGCCGCGCTAGGAAGTTTTTCTCCCCGGAGTCGATCCTCCAGATCTACAAATCCACAATTCGCCCTTGCATGGAGTATTGCTGCCATATATGGTCTGGTGCCCCTTCTGTTAGCCTCGAGGTTCTTGATAGGCTCCAGAGGCGGATATGCAATGTGGTTGGCCCTACCCTGGCGACTCGTCTACAGTCACTTTCTCACAGACGCGCCGTCGCCTCCCTCTGTCTGTTCTACAAATACTTTCATGGAAATTGCTCCGAGGAGCTGCATTCGCTGGTTCCCAGACGTCATGAGTTCAAGCGCCCTACGAGGCTGGCATCCCGCTCTCACCTCTTCACTGTCGAAACTCCTAAATGTAGCCGTCTCTTCTACTCTAATAGCTTCATGTCTCGCACCTCTCGCCTGCTTAAGGAAGGACGCAAGGGGTTACAGAAAAATTTAGAGCAAGATCAGATAGGAGTGATAGAAGAAAGGATGAGGGTAGTGGATAGATCAAGGCAACTGGAGATGTCGATTGACATTACACTTGAATAGCTGGAGATTATAGCTCACAGGGAAACAGGAGAAGGGAAGGGAGTTCCACAGGCGAGAGGTGCGAGACATGAAACTATTAGAGTAGAAGAGACGGCTACATTTAGGAGTTTGAGTATCACCGAGGACCATTTGGAACAGTTGGTATGATGTTCGCTTGACAACCTAACTGTCAGGGTTTCAATTCTCAGTAGTGGATGCGCACTGCTGATGAGTCCCAAATATAGAGCGAAACAGCCATCCAGTGCTTTCTGCATTCTGTTGAGGTTTCTATCAGACTCGATGAATGAATTAATTAGTATATATATATATATATATATATATAAATAAATAAATTTATTAAATGAAAATCGTTTCATTGAAACTAGATTTGATTACGCATTTCGTCTTTCTTGGTTTCATCAGATTCAAAAATGGAAGAAAGATATGTGTATTTGTGTGTATGCTTGAATCGATGTTTATGCTTCAATTAAATTATTTAAGCATACACACATAGATACATTTCTTTGGGATCTGATGAAGACTAGAAAAGCGAAACGCTTAATCAAATATAGTTTCAATAAAACGTTATCCATTTGTCAAATTTCTTGAAAACTTTGTCGGGATTCTACACCCTATTTTAAACACTCTTTCTCACACACACATACGAAATTACCAACGTTTTTTTTTTTTAAACCACTGGATGAGCTTTAATAATTATT